TTCATTATCTTGAAAATGAAAAACAAATCTTATAAAGGAGTACCATTGTTTTATAAATTTTGTATATATGAAAATGAACCTTGGGGAGGTTGCAGGAAGTCACACAGACAGTTAAAGCAGATTGGCATTTGAAAACAAATTTGCGTGATTCCAAAATCCAAACTCTCTCCCAAATCATTCTAGATCAATGAAACTGAAGAAATGATAACTTTGAGTGTAAAGCTGATGCATTAAGACCTACCTGAATTTATAAAAATAGAAAAATTTAAAAGTATTTTTAACAAAATTTTAATGGCAAGGATTTTACTATCCAAATAAGAACATATCTATACAACACCTTAGAACTTTCCTAAGAGACAAAAGTATGTTAATAAGGACATAAAAAAGACACTCACTTTAATTCTATGAAAAGCTAGCCACTTGTTGCTTATAAAGCTAGCATTATAAATTTTTAATTAATTGTTTACTGCTAAGCATCTGAAAATACTGGAAATGATTATCAAGAACAAAATAATGCACCAAATTATGCCTTTAATAATTTATTACATTAGGAATGTTCACAGGATGAATTCAACAAAATTGTTCACAATAGCACTTTTTAAATATTAGTGAGAAATGAGACAATTTCTAATATCCACCAGTAATGTATTTACCCAGCAATATTAATTATATTAATTTTAATGAAAACATACAAGAATGCTAAAATGGCATTGTATTTAAGATTGAAAAACCTATTTTGGGGATGGAAAAAACAGTTTTTAAAACACTGCTGAATGACAAAGCAGGTATAGAAAAGAATGTATGGTATGAAAGCACTTGTGTACAATTTTATATTTATCTTTAAATATAGGCATGTACGTGGCATTCTGACCCTTTTATCTAAACATTACATATGGCCACTTGATCTTGAACATTCTTTCAAATTTAGAACAGCTCCTTCTGATAAAAAAAAAAAATCCACTACCTGCCACTTTATTAACACATTTCAAAATATACTTCTTTCACTACCTTTCTACCATGAAGACTATTTCTAGCATAGTATTAATGTACACATAAAGCTATTATATAAAATAAAAATTATATTTGTGATGTTAACTTTTGATAAATCTCCATAACTGTTTTCCAAGGTTCCGTTATTATATATATCTATAAAATCTTAGCTTAACTCATCTAAATATATAATCAACCTAAGCTACATCAATAGAAGAGCAGATAGAGACAGAATGAAATACTCTTCAGCCATAAAAAATAAAATCCTCTCATTTGTGACATCATGGATGAATGTGCAGGATGTTAAGTGAAATGAGCCAAGTAAAACAAAACAAAAGCAAATACCCCTTGATCTCACTCACTTGTGGAATCTAAAAAAATAAAAAATAAATGATCTACTAGAAATAAGAAAACAGAAAAGTGATTACCACATTTGGGGGAGGGCAAACAGGCAGGGGGCATGCAGGGAGGTTAGTCAACACATACAAAGTTATAATAAGATAGAAAAAATACATTGTACTGTTCTATTCTAGGTTGACTATGGCAAATAATAATGTGTTAAATATTTCACAATATCTAGAAGAGAGGATTATAAACATTATCACTGCTAACAAATGATAAATGTTTGAAGTAACATGCTAATTACTCTAACTTGATAGTTATTAAATGTATAAATATATGAAAATAACACAATGCACCCCATAAACGAGTACAATTATATATGAATCAAAAATAAAAATAAATGTGATTGTCAATCTCATTTTAAATAAAACACTTTAAACACATAAATTTAAGAGGGAAAAAAAAAACAAAACACTGACCAAACACTATCAATGTTGCCACCTCCAGCCACATACCTTCCTTCATTCTGATCAATATTGTCATAAACCAATTTTTGTGAGAATAGCAACTTTACTTCCATCTTTCAGAAAGTCATTCCAAAAAATAGCAATAACAATAAACAAATTCATTTGGTTTATTTCATAGAAGATTAGCTGTATGCAGTAGACAATCTACCCAACAATATTCAGTGTTTGGTATTGCAACAATTTAATAGACTAAGAAATGATAAAAGTGAGATCAAGGAATTTAAACAAAGACTCAATTCCAGAATAGCAATTCAAGAGTAACAACCTTAAAACATAAGATGCATTTCTTCCTTCCTATAACATAAACTTTTCTTAGCTATGCTGTATCACTTCATATTTCTAAAAATTCTCTTTGAATCTCCTATCAAAAAGATAATAAAATGAAAATAAACAAAAAGCACAAATAGTTGTTTTGTGCATTTGTAAGTAGCTGGGATTCAATAAGTCTTTTCTAAAGCCTGTGCTTTAGAAAAATTGCCAAAGTTTGCACACACAAAGGGCTATAAGAGACAAATATTCCACAGAACTGCAGTCTATGGAAGATATTATTTGACCCACAGAGACAAACACATTTCAGATTTCATTTAAAATTAACAAGTTGATTCTATGATTATATCTAAATAATTTTATATTTTTAGTGATGTGAGTGTAATAAACAAGTGAAACATCTAGGTCTGTGTGTTTAATCTCATACATCTTAAGTGTCTAATATCTAAACATGATCTTTTAAGCTACAAACTTCAGAGACTTACTTCAGAGGCTATAATCATTAAAAGTAATGGACAAAGCTGGTCAGCAATTAAATTGATCATGTTTCCCTGAAGGCCAAAAATCTAGTAGATGACAAGAGAGCTCAACATTTCCCACATGTAAGGAGTGAAGGCTTTCAACATTTGGATGCATGCAGGCATCTTATTTCCCAGGATTTCAAAATCCACATGTAGGCTGCTGTTCAGCTATTTTGAATGAGTAATTCAAGCAGGGCATGACTGCTTCTTGTATTAACTTGATAAAGATGTTTCACTCCAAATGCATCAACAGTTGTGTTAAGTCATCCCTTTCACAAGCTCACTGAGATTTACTTAGGCAATGCTTTAACAATCAGTACAGTTAAAAAAAAAAAAAAAAAGCTCTAATCACTCATACATTTATTTTTCTAAGACTAAAAATCAAGCTCTATTTAATAATTAACTTCAAGCCAAACCACAAAAATTAAATATAATCTAATAATCCCAATATTATTTTTTAATTTAAACATTTGTCGTAGAAAACAAAAGCAGTAATAAGTATTTCAAATATTTTATATTTTCAATCATTTTAACTTTGAAAAACTTCAGAAAAGATATTCTAACTACACTTATGTGAAAATACGAAAATATTTTAAGAGTTAAATATGTTTTGATTTTTCCCTTTAACACTATCTTACCATAAATATGTACCAAGCACTTTTCAGCAGCAATTATACAGTTTATAATTTTATAAAAATACAATCTTAACTAATAATAATTACCATTTAAAACAAAATAAGAAAACTAAAAGTATTTTAACACCAAAATAAGAATTTCTAGCTCATGTGCAACTTTTTGATTATGTAAGATTTAAATATCAATTCATCTTTGACAGACCTTTCCGAAGATCATTGATCTTCCTTTCCTCCATTCAAATTAATCTCTTCCGTTTTCATAATATATTATAAGTCGAGTTTGATCAGGGCCCTGTATTAAATACCTTTTTGTACCAACCTCTAGCAGTGTCTTCCATGCAGCTGGCAACCAATAAATAAAACTAAATCAAGTTCAATAAGACTGAAATAATGTATTACTTAAGTATGAATTTCTATACAACCTGTGCTCCTTGGGGCAATGCAAAAGAATATAAGTTCTGGAGTCAGGCTCTTGGGTTCTATTATAATAGCACAATATCTGGCACAAAGAAAGAACTAGAAAAATACTAATGTTGTTATTACTAAGGTTTGAATGTCCCCTTGAAAACTTTATGTTGAAATTTAATTGCCACTTGCGTGGTAGCACAAAACTGCAATCCCAGTGACTCAGAAGTCTGAGGCAGGGGAATGTTGAAGACCAGCCTCAGCAAATTAGTGAGACTCTGGCTCAAAAGCAAAAAAATCAAAAGGGGGCTGGGGCTGTAGCTCAGTGGCAGAGTGCTTGCCTAGCACGTGTAAGGCACTGGATTTGATCCTCACACCACACAAAAATTAACAAATGAAATAATAGTCTAAAAATAAAATAAAATAGTTATCCATACACAACTCAAAAAAATAAAAATAAAAAGGAAGGAAGGAAGAAGGAACAAACCTTAATTGCCACAGTAATAATATTGAGAAATAGGACCTATAAGAGGGCTCTGCCCTCATGAATAGATTAATGCCTGATAAACAAAATGAGTTCACTACAGTTTTCTCTCAAGTATACCTGTTTTCTCCCACCCTGTGATGCCTTCCACCATGTTATGAAGTAGCAAGAAGGCCCTTCCCAGATGCACCCCCTTGTTTTAAGACTTGCCAGCCTCTTAAATAATGAGCCAAGTAAACCCCCATTGTTTATAATTTACCCAGGCTATGGTATTCTATTACAATAGAAAAAAAAACTAAAAAAGTTAAACTAGCTGTTTCTACTATTCTAAATAAATCCTGGTTCTCATTCTTTTATTTATTGTCTTACTGAAAGATACTCTTCTGTCTACCTAGCTTCCCTAAACCAGTCAGTAGGTGCTTGCTTTCCCTATTATGCCATTTCCCTTGGTCACCATTTAGTTATTTCCACCACATTTCTATTCAAAACATGTATAATTCTTTCCATTAGCATTACCATTTTTTTTTCATTGCAACATTCACCTTTTTACTCTAACTCTCTCCTCTATATTTGCTGCCTAAGTTTGTTTCAAAAGTGTAAATATGATAAAGTCTTTTGATTTTTCCCTTTAGCACTCAGTCCAAACCCTTTAAAATCACTTTCAGAGCCTCTTATAACCAAAGGGGGCTTATTTATCTCAACAGGCTGAACTCTTACCATTGTTTCTACTTACTCTAAGCTCTGCTTACACAGGAGCTGTTTAGTTTCCCCAGGTCTGACCAAGTGTTTCTCATCCAGTTCATAATGGAAGGCTCATCTTGGCCATGACATATTCCAGGAATCCTTTTCTAAGTCACAAAGACTTCAATGTAAACACATGTTATTAACTACCTTTTAAGTATCTGCTTACCTGTATGTCTCACTCAATGAATTATAACTTTATTTAAGAAGAGGTAAAAGGACTATGCTCATCCTTTTATTATAAGTAAATATGTATTAAAGACAACTATCTGATCACCTGCAAATGATCTTTTAATATACATAGTGAAAAAGAACACCAGACTAGAAGAGTTATAGTCTTACCTCAACTGCTTAACTCTGATAGCAACAGCTGACCATCTGTAAAATGTGTCCTTTATTCTTTTCTTTTGGACTAGAAATGATCTTGACAGTCTCTCCCCCTTAATATTCTTCTACACAGAATTAGCAATAATAACAAAACCTTATTTCAAGGATAACTAGCAATTAATAAGACAAACTGATTTTTAAAATGCTTTTACCCAATTATTGATAGTTTTATTTATTTCTCCTTTCCTCTTTATTTAGTGGTTGTTTATCACCCTGTCAGAGGGTTTGGGACGTGTCACACTTATCTTGTCTCAAAGATTATTCTCTAAGCTTTATTTGCCTTTTACTAACTTGTTGTTTCAGATGGTCTCACACTCATCTACAGAAATGAGTCCTCTTAAAATTTTTGACTTTCTTCTTACTGTACCTCTGTCAACTCTCATCCAGTTAGCTCAAATAAATGTTTTCTTTCTCAACCTGAATCCAAAACTAATCCTAATCCAAGCTAATAATCATGAATTATACGTCAAGCAAAAAGGAAGGAAATGGCTGGAAATAAAGATAAAAATTTAAAAAAAGATAAGCACTGTCAGTATCTGATGTGCTAGAAATGTTGACGAATACCATTGAGTGTCTCCATAAAACATCTTCATATTACCACAGTCTCCTAAAACTATTTTTACTTGAAGTAGAACAAATTTAGAAATTATTCAAGTTTACAGGTTTTTAAGTCTTCTTTTAAGGTTATTATTTCTAGAGTATTAATTCCTATCATTTTCCATTACAAGTTTACAGATGCTCTTCAACTTATGATGAAGTGATACCCCACTAACTCATCACAAGTTGAACATTACAGCTTAGCAACAAAGTACAACTAGAGAGAATCTGTGGTTTACCCTAGTGATCAATCACATTTCTTACTGAGAGCTGCAGCTGACCGTTGCTGCCCATCATCACAAGACAGCATTCTAAGAAAGAGAACCATATCCTCTGAATCATTATTGCAAGCAAAGACCAAAGTTCAAAATAAAAGTATGGTTTCTAATAAATGCATATCACTTTGTACCACCATAAAGTGTTGAACCATCACAAATCATGGGTCATAGGTAATTCAAATTCATCATGGGTTTAACAAAAAAAAGAAAAAAGAAAGAACTTTTTGAATTAGTCTTGGATTTTAATTCTAAAAATATCTTTGCTTCTATATAAAAATGCATTCAAATTGTAAGAGCTATTTTTCAAGGGAACACTAGATCACAATACATGGAAGGTTTTCTCTTTTTGTATTATATCCAATGGTTGACCAATACAGTAAAATCTCAACTGTATCTCAAAAGGAAAACATTTAATTGCAACTAGAATACAAATTATAGTGGAAAATAAAGGCACATTAAACATTTCAGTCACCAGTTAGACTGAAACTGTTAAAAATTAAAGAGAAATGCAAATTATGCTATCTTAAAAATCTTATATTTTATTAAGGTACATATAATAAGACCCATAAAGAATTTTTAAACTGATAGACTGTGGCTTTCAGAGCATATATTCTTTAAGCATGAAACTATTTTTGAACATGAAACTACTTAAGTAATAGGTTATGTAAGAATCATTGTGCAAGCATGCCTTGCACCATTGTGACCTATAAATAACTTAGCTGAAAGTCAGTACTTTGTAGAAGAAATAGTTATAAACATTTATTTATGTTACCAGAAAATATCAAATACCACAGAAAAATATAACCATGAATGGGAGCTGATTCATAATTTTATTAAATGTTGGTAAATACTGCTAGAAAATAACTTTCAATGAATAAAATACATGAATATAAATATATGCACACATATATTCATATGCCCCTAATGAGAAAATTTTACAAAACTATAATTTTATTCAATATAGCTTTACTTTTGTTGTTGTTTTACAGTGCTAAAGATGGAACACAAGCATTTGCACAAGTAAGGGAAGCACTCCACCAATGAGCTATATACCCCTAGTCCTTAATGTATGTTTTTATTTCTATTTTTTCATACAAGTTGTTAATATGAACACTTCCTTATGTAATATCAAATATTTTATTGGCTAATTTCAAAGAGGGACTTCTAGGGATATATTCTGATCTATTTCATAATTTTATACTATTCGACAACAAAGATGACTTGTGATTTTCACAAATAACTGAGATAAATTTCCTTATGTTTTAAATATAAGTCTTTAAATACATCTTACATTATCCCCTTAGAATTGAGTCTTAGAACTGGGATTATAAAGAATCACAAATTTTGCTAAATTGATTTCTGGAGACTATATCAATTCATAATCCTATCACAGTTTTATAAAATTGTTTATCATACAGATTTCACAATCTTCGATTTTATCATTTATTAAATATCTGTCAATTTCATTCCTTATTATTGTCCATTTCATTGACTTCTAACAGTTTGAAATTTTTTCACTGTTCTGGTTATTTTCCCACAGTGTATTTGTATTTTTGTTATTTTATTGTTTGTCTATAACTGAGTTTCCCACAACTTTGTCTACTGTATCCTTGCAGAGATTTCCACAACATTTCAGATTTCCATATTTTATGTGAAATGAAAGCAGAAATTTAATCTAAGGAGAAACTAGAAATTCCACCTTTTTACATTCAAGGAAAGGCTTCAGATAATTTAGATAATACTTCACTTTTAATTATCACAAGAAAAATACAAGATAATATTAACTACTATATTTTAAATGTCATAACAGAATGTTAGCTCTAGGAAGTTTGGGAACCCCTCTCTCTCATGGGTATTAGAGGGGGAGAGAGAAATCCTTAATGCTTAAGCGGTGCCAAACATACAATAGGTATTCAAATATTTGCTGTATGAATTCCTTTCTCAAAGCACTCTAATAATTTAAACACAATATTTACTTAACAAAAAATAGGCTTGAACATTTTTTTATTTACTTAACAAAAAGCAAAAACAAAACCAAAAAAACCTTATTCTGCCAAGTTAAAATACTGACAAAAGGACTGGCTGAAGGGAACTTAGTATGACAAGATTTCAAAAGCCCAACTCAAATTAAGATCTATACCAGAATTATTCTACAATTAATTGTTCCTTTGAAAATGAGGAAACTCTTACTTCATCACTGCCCTCTGCCGGTGGTATTATTTCCCTTTATTTTTCCCTGCATGCCCTGAAATGTGGCTTCACAACATTACCTCAGACCTGCCTGTAACTAACCACCTGGAATTTAGAGTGGTTGTAGGAAATAAGTTCTGCTCCAGTTTAAAGCTCTGCATTGTTTACAGCATACCCTTTTGGGTTGTCTGAGTTGGATGCTTTAGGATTCTACACTTTTCAATAGCCTTTGAGCTATTTTATACAACAGTAGGTTGCAGGTTATGGACAGCAATACAAATTTTTTATTTTTTCATAATTATCTTAAATTTTTAATGTTTTCATTAATACAGTCTACTATATATAATCACTGTGACATAATCATAAATGCATAGAATAATTTGCTCCATTCACTCCTCAGTATTCCCCTACCACTGTCCTCATGATCCCTTTCTTCCACTCTACTGTATGTCCTTTTATTTTTTTAATTGGTGCATTATAATTATACATAAAAGTGAGATTCATTGTGATATATTTATACAACCACATAGAATAATTTGGTCAATTTCATTCCATAGTTCCTCCCCTTTCCTTCCTCCCTCCCCTTTAATCCCTTCCCCCACTCTACTTTTCTCCCATTTTTATGAGGTCTCCTTTTTAAAGAAAATTTGTATATCTCTCTAGATTCCACATATGAGAGAAAACATTCAACCCCTGACTGTGTCTGGCTTATTTCACTTAGCATGATCTTCTCTAGTTTCAGCCATTCACCAACAAATGAGAGTTGGCTGAGTGTAACTTCATTGTGTTTATACCACATTTTCTTTATTGATTCATCTGATGAGAGACACCTACTCTGGTTCCATAATTTGGCTACTTAAACTACACTGCTATAATCATTGGAAAGCAAGTATCACTACAGAATGCTGATTCATCTTCTTCTTTTTTTTTTTTTTCCCAAGAATGCTGATTCTTGACCCAAATAAATTCTGTCAGGTAGAAGTGCAGTTGACCTCCCTTCTTTACTCTTGGAAGAAACCAGTTTTCCCATTTCCAAATTTATTTTAGTATGATTTATAAATGCCTGTTTTTCCTCCCTGTGATCTGCCTATCATGTCTACCTGGTTCACTCATTAACAATGAGTTAAATAAAGCTTTTAACAATTTTCCATTTTATAGCTTTACAAGTATCATGAGTTTACCTTTAAAAAAATTGTTCCTTTTTTTTTAATTTTGTAATATTTATTTATTTTTTTAGTTTTCGGTGGACACAATGTCTTTATTTTATTTTTTTTAATGTGGTGCTGAGGATCGAACCCAGCGCGCCGCACATGCCAGGCGAGCACGCTACAGTTTGAGCCACATCCCCAGCCCCAAAAATTGTTCCTTAACACACTAAAGCCACACTAATTTTTCCCCCAATTTAGAAATAAAATGATAAAAACTAAAGACCTGTAGACAACAGGCTATGCTCAAATGGCAATAAAATAAAATACATTCTTTGGACCACTCTATATTTGCTGAAAACTTATCATGTTCTAGTCATGGCTTTTGTCCTCAGAAACTCCCAGTCTCAAGGGGAAGGAATCCCATAAACAGTTACAACTGTCTGCAGTGTGATATCATCAAAGTGTCATGGCAAAATTTAGAAGGAAAGGAGGAAAGGGGAGATGGGG